TTGTCCGCGTGCACTTGAGTTGGGTTAGGGCCTTCTCGATGCACTCATTGTTGATCTGTGGAGGAGGCTCGACGTTGCATCCTACTTTCTTCTTGAAGCCAGAAGTCGACGTTGCTTCCTCACACGTAGTATTGTGCCTAGCCTCTAATCTAGCAACAAGTGCACTTGTCTCATCTATAGCCTCTAGGCTAGCTAAAAGTGCACGAACATGTACTAGATTTCGCTCTATCAATATATCGATGTACTCTTCTTCCCAATACCAAAACTTGCATCCATTCTACACAATAAAACTTAAAGTTAGCGCAACTAATCTAATCCGAGAGCACAAACCGAAGCTAAAAAGAGCACGTACCCCATCGTTTAAGCACTTGATGAACACCCATCCGGGATGCTCTGGCGTTGTAGACACGCGGCGCACGACCATCCTTGGGCAGTGTTCGCACTTGATGAGGGGCAACGGTGCACCGACGAGCTTTTGGGCAAGCACCGAGCCCGGCCGGCCGCCATTTGTGTATCTGTCGGCGGACCACCGACGGTGCAGATCCGAGCGGCTAGAGGACGAGCCACTGCCTGCATGTGGCCTTGCGGCCCTGCCAGGGCCATCCGGCAAGGTGCCCGGCCAGTCCATGGCGCAGCCAGGCCTCCCACAGCCGGGCGAGCTCAAGACCGACCGGATCCGCCCCAAATCCGGCCGGCGGGTGCGCAAACCAGGTGGTTGTGGTTGGGTAGCTCGGCGGCAACGAGGGAAAGGGGTTGGGCGAGCGCGCGTCCGTGTTGCACGGCGGCGGCGGCGGGCGTCGAGGGGAAGAGTGGGGAAGAGTGGAGTGGGATGCGGCCGGAGGGAGGGAGGGGGCGGATAGAAAAAGGCCCGTCCTGTGCCACCGACGGACGGGCCAGGGGAGGGCGAGGGGAGGACACGCGCAGATGGCCGGCGCGTCCGCGTAGTGTCCGTTTCACCCTAAAAGCGGACACAAAACGGACAAAAATCCATTTGCTCCCGTGCGCTGGGCCGCCCGGTTTGTCTGTTTTATCCCAAATGAATGGGTCCGGACAGGATGGGGTCGCGCGGTGGAGTTGGCCTCACTCTCAAGGATGTTGGTCCCTCCAACCGACATGCATCTGCATTTCGGCAGTCTCCTCGAGAGCTCCTCGGCGCCATGAAGGAGAAAACCGACGGCCTCATTGAGATCAGTGACGACATGGAGCCCCATGTGTTCAGGTGCCTGCTGTACTAGAGTGCCAATCCTATATATGTGAAGCTCTGTTGAGAGTGGACGTCCTGGACGCAGCGACATCTGGACGCAATTATCCAGCCGCACATCGGGGCGAGGTGACGCGCGCATTAAAAAACGATAGAAGGGAGAAAGGCAGCATACATCATTATGTCCAGACGAATACGGTGGACAAGTTGGCTCGGTGGGCTCGGCCCGTGCGGTGCATGGCTGACACAAGGACAGCAGGCCAGGGGGACTTTTTTTACCATGCAGGCTCGGCCCGTGTGGTGCATCCGCTGACACAAGGACAGTAGGTCAGGTAGGACAGCAGGTAAGGAAACGTAAAGCGTTTGGGCAGGAGGAGCTCGCCTCGGCGCCCCATGTCCGCTGTATGTAGCCATGGCGATACCGGAGCGAGGACACCGGCGTTGGGCGAGCGGTGAGTGAAACTCTGCGCGTCTTTTGTTCCTGCCGGTTGCGAGCGCCGGTCCATGCTTTCTCCTTTCTCCAACTTCTCCCGTCCTTAATTTTGCAGATCAGGAGCCGCGGCGTCCGTTATGGAAGGGGGCGGCGGGATAGTATACACGGGGGCGGCGGCATCTGCCAGAGGCATGAAGTTCCGGGCTTAGGGAGGACGCTGGAGAGGCGGCCATCTGGGCAGGAGGAGCTCGCCCCATCGCCCGACGTTGAGCTGTCGGGTGTGTCCTGCACGACATTCAGCTCCGGAGACGGGCTGGTCGGCGGTAGACGGCGGAGCTGGCGTACATTCATACGCCGCAGTCGGGCCGCGTACCATCAACGCCTACAGCGTGCCATGTGCCATGGAGGCCTGCATCGCGATGCACACCGTCGACACCTGCAGCGCGCTTCAGAGTGTGCGCCCCGGTCCTCTGGCGCCGGCGAACACAACTATCCTCGTCAGTACAGTACTCCAGCATGAGCATGAATGAGCAGATCATCATGGTGTTCCTAGCTACGATGCGTATGTCGTCCATGGAGCGGCCCATCCCAAGCATGACGTTGCTCCCACCTCCGGCCGACTTGATCAGAAGGTTGTGCGTGTTCTGTTTGAATGAGATGCTTGTGCGTGTTTGAATGAGGCCGTTGCAAGCGATCGGTACTGTCCTCCGGTTGCATGCTCTTTAAATACATCCAGGTTGAAAAGTCTTTACATTATACAGTGCTCCAAGCGACGGTAGTACTATTTTGTCCTGCACGCATGCGCACGTACACTGCTCTGCAGCGGCGTGTCAGCCTGTCTGTCAGTGCGCGGTACTTCAAATACATCAATACGCAGCATTTGGCTCACCAGCGGAGCTCTATACTCAAAGTAGCACATTTGGCTGCTGCGAATCGCGAGGCTGTGCGTGCCGTAGATGGGCTGCGTGCAGATGCCACTGCATGCAGCAATGCACTTCTCAAGCTCTGTTGTACTACTTGATGCCTTGTTTCAGCTTGCAATCCTCTAGTCCCTCTTACCTAGTTATTAGAAGTCAAATTGCTGAACCAGCTAGTTTTTATGCTGCTGCTTTTGGTTGAGCTTTCTCATTGTAGATGGAAACATATGATCCTGTTTGTTCTGGCTGACTTTGGGAGTGACGATAACCTTTGAATTTAGAGTGATTATGCAGTTGCTTTTGGGTGAGCTCCTCATTGTAGTACAAGGCAACAGTTTCATCATATAATGAATCCCTGTTTGTTCTGGACGGCTAGGATGGCGATTGATTGCACACCTGCAACTGTAATAGTCATGTACAGTATTTTACTGTAGGTACAAGAGCATGCCCAAGCTGCCTACAACACTGATCAGTAGTATAAGCTACAGTAGACTATAGACAACAATAATACCTCATGGGATCTGAACAATATCAGGGCCGAGCTTCAGAGCGTGAATCAGCCAGTGTTTTACGCTGTTGCTTTTGGGCTGCATAAGTTTGGGCAGGCTCCTTGACGTTTTGTTGTGAAACTTTTTTTCTCTACTGTGGCACAGCAAAGATCCGACAAGCATCACATATTCATAGTACATGAGAAACCAAAACGGCGGCTCCAAACAGCAGCTGATGGAAATCACCGCGTTATCCGCGGAGCGGAGATGTGATTAGTAGCAAAGTAAAAACATTTTTTTTTTGAGGAAAAAGAGTAACACTCCATTACTCTTGGGCCGCTTCCAAGTCAGCTCTCATCTCTTCCACTAAATCATCCGGGACACCTGCAACTTTGTACGCGTCTCCCTTTTTTCTCGCCCGGGCCGCCAAGCAGTGAGCCAAATTTCTCGCCCGTCTCCCTTTTTTTTTTTTACCCGCAAAAAAAAAAAGTCCACCCGAGCATTTCTGAATTTTGATAGTTCAGTCTTGGCAACAGGCAGAGCTACTGCACCAATACATGTCTGCCCACTGTCAGCCAAAAAAGAGGCATCAGTATTCAGTTTCACCAGGCCATTCCTTGGGAGGCACCAAGCACCAGAGGACGCCAAGTTGCAGCCCGATCTCAACATCTCCTTAGCTCCTCCCGCTGACTCCTTTCCAACAGAAGCATTCCTGAGCTGCCCCAGACCTTGCTTGTCTTTCATATCTGAATTAGATACATAGCTGTTGTCGTTTATCTCCTCTACGTATTGCTGCAGGAATAAAGCCGATCTACTAACCAACTCTTTCCCTGTACTATGAAAATTATCGTCCCGAAGAAACCAACAACGCCACAGCAGCAACAATACTTTTGTTCTTGTTTCCATATTGCATAGCCCTAATAAATTTTGTAACCAGTCCTCCCCAGTAAACTGAAAGAGCGTTTCGCTGGGGATGTTTCAGGCCTTTCTCATCTCCGTTCTTAGGGCTCTGCTCTTGGTGCAAGAGACTATAGCATGGTGCTCGTTTTCCTCTCCCATACCACAAATGTTGCAGGTACTATCCATATCCAAAGTACGCTTCCATTTGTTCAGCTTGGTCGGCAGCGTATTGGTGGCCGTCCTCCACCCGAAGATTTTGATCTTTTCTGGTATTGGCTACGGTTGTGGGATGCGTTCGTAGAACTCGATGCCGCACCCTCGGCCTGATCTTGAAGTGAGGCCGCCAGCTTATACGCACTCCGGACAGTGAAAACTCCAGACTTCTCATAATTCCACGCCAAAGTATCCTCCGCAGCCGAATTCGGGATCCTGATGCTACATATCGCATCCGCATCAAAACCATAAAAAAGCTGATGAATCAGTTCAGAATTCCATCCACTTCCATCTGCAAGCATCAATTGATTCACCCAACGCAATCTGGACCGACGAATGAAGTTAGCAGGTTTCAGACCACTCTCACGAGGAATCCACCGGTCCCGCTGGATATTAACCTTTCTCCCGTTTCCGATCCTCCAGACAAGGCCCGCCTTCAGGAGTAAAAACATTTTGATGCAACTGCACTGCAACACAGGTGAACAAATCTCACAACAAACACACGGTGGATGCCCGCCCGTGAAATCACAAGCACAAACAAGCGATAAGCACATCTGCAACTGTTTATTATAGTTATTACAACGGTAGCATGCCCAAGCACTCTAGAACTAGCAGCAGCTTGCAGAAACCGCCCACAAAACAATACAATACAATACTAATCAATATAAGCTCGCTTAGACTAGAGATAACAACACCACCTCATGGGATCTGAACAACAGTGGGCCAAGTTTCGGTTTGTCAAAAGGTCATCTTCTATACCCACGGGTCAAAAGGGTGAACTGAGGAAGTTGCGACGTCAGCAACAGAAAATCTCGCAGAAACAACAACGGTTTCAAGTGTCGCAGATTTCACTTGACGAGAGTGCAACCCAAGAATAGAAATACATAAGCGACCAGCGAAGTAAGGAGCTCCAGACACCAAGTACGCGGGAAAATAAATGCCGGAAGGATCACTGGGACTACCAGCGAACCTACTATCCAGCCACCCGCAAAGAGTCCAAGCCTGCAAGCACGGAGGAGGATTAAAAGCCCTATACGTGTGCGACTGATAACGACCAAGGGAGTACTCGTATGTTGCTATGCAGGTGCTAACTAACCCTGTAGCAGACGCCCTGGCAAGGTTTTTCATCTTGTCGTTGAGAAAGTATATGCATGACACGAGTGCCAGTGCAAGCTGCAAGAGAAAACCATCAATGTTAGAAAGATTGTTAGAACCAGCAAGACCTATAATTGGTATAATAGGAGGCTTAATCTATCTTATTATAGGTAGGCCAGGTGTTCTTAAAACAAAACTCGAAGTGCACGCTTCGGAGCACGGTCTTCCGTTAGGTCCTTTACGGACGACGAAAGCCCCTTGGCTATACTCTACTCTTCGCCTCCGGCTGTTCTGTGTTTTTCTTTTGGCTCGGCGGAGCTGAGCTGGGTTCCATTACACTCTGTAGGAAATGCATAGACAGTCCACGCAGCAAACCAAGGATATTTTCTGCCTAATGGTTCCAATCCCCAACCGCAAGAGAAATAAACAACAGTCTTAGGCTGTAAGTAATCTCTAACAGATTCAATGCTTAGGAAAAAAGGATTATTGAATCAGTTGTGAGAATCATTAAATGCATATATATACCTGGAAGGTAGGTCCAGTCTCAGCAGAAGTTGCGATGCTCCACCCAGCAATAAATCCGAAAAGAGCAAATCTTTTTGACACAACATCCATCGATGGCACCTCAAAGTGTCCAAGCAGTGACTTAACCCATGATGGGGATTCTTCAACTTGCTTAATTAATTTCCTTTTCAGGTTGATTTTGGACTTCTTACGGTGTGAGTAGCTCTTCATCATTATCTTATCATAGGCACCTTCAATTGCCTCTTCGTTTTCTTCATACCCAGCGTATTGTTGAAGGAGGAAGTTTCTTGCACTATTGATCTCTTCTTCAGATGCATCATGGTCAACACCAAGAAGCTTGTAAGGATCCCATGTTTTTTGTCTTGGGAATACAGGGACATGCTCTACAAAGAAAAAATCATGAAGTGACAAGAGCAGTGAGCAAGCAAAGTATTCGGCACCCAAGGAAATGATAAAAGGCACGAGTTCCAGGTTCATTCACGACAAGTTACGCTATACTTTGACAATTCAATCTCTACCAGTAGCAATTGGCCAAAAGGCAGGCTTCAATTGCAAAATTTGCAAATAATAATTCAACAAGAGTCTGTTGCAGCTAAATAAATGAAATGACCATCTAATTTCTTGTTTCAACCACTGGTTCAGCAATACATAACACGTAATGATAAACAAATCTAGGGCAGCCCGGTGCACGTAGCTCCCGCTTGAGCAGGGTCCGGGGAAGGGTCCGACCACTTTGGGTCTATAGTATGCAGCCTTTTAATGATAAACAAATCTAGAAGACAAAAATAATTTGCAAATCCACTTTACGATCTGTGGTTCTTGAAACGCAGAATGATTACAAAATTAAAGGAAATTATATTCAAAGTCACAGTAATTAAAAAAAAACAAGACCAGCCAGGAGCCCTTGGCATTGGCGGCATCTTTTTTTTGATAGAAGAAACAACCTAAGCGCCCTGTGGAGTCCGATACTCGATAACTCAAACATGCACCTGCACAGCTTATCAACAGAGCGACAGCTCTGTTCTCAAAGTCTCACAATATGAAAGGCGGGTTTCGTACCTAGAATCGACCTATGTTTATCTCGGTAGGTCAACGAAGCTAGGCAATAGCTTTGCGCAACCAGTTTCTGGATACATAGCAAGGACCGAATTAAGCAGATATGGCTGGTTTATGCCCAATACAGACAGGGAATATGTGTTGATTAATTTCACCGGACAGGACTGCTTGTTTCTATGACACTTTTATTTATCTCACAAACAAAATGGCAAAAGGTACTATTTGATTCTCCCAAACCTTCCTTACAAATAAGAAAAGTCGTCTGGTTAATGACATTTGATTCCAAATACGCAGGTCAAGAACACATACCGCAAACAATTAAGAGCAGCATGGCAACTTCCAAGCCAAGACTCACCAGTACTGTAAATTAATACAGCAAACATGGAAGTGACTTCCTATTGCATCAACCGCCCTTGGTACTGCCGCTTGCACGAATTGCTTCTACTACTTGTTTTAGTACTGAAATCACCGTATTTGGGAGCCATACACCATTTGTAAGGGAAGGACTGCCCATTAGGTCCCATTATTCAAACTTGCACGCAGTCCTGTATTCCAATATACCGTCTATCCTGAAGGCCAGGATTCTGATTTCCACATCATTTTCCATCATTCACAAAAATGCAAATGTCTTTCGCGCGTGAACTATGAAGTATGAACACACATAATTGTTCTTTTTAACCACGGTAAGCCGATAACTAGCATTAGCGAATGAACTGAAACAGTGATAAGAAGTGATTCCTCTGACACATCACAATATCGTACAGCCAAACCATGTTATTATCGCATTCAGAAGGCAGTTAGGCAGGGCGGGTGGGAGAAAGAAGAAGGCTGCGAGGGGGAGGGATTCCAGTAAAACTGAATTTGTTTTCAGTTAATAACTGACGCATATACAGGTGCTCCTTAATAGTATTATCTCAAATTTTAGCCTTGGCCTAGTAACTGATTCCCCTTATCTTGGCACTGCCAAAACTTTTATAATCCGATCTGAAAAGTTTGCCCTTGCCTGAAGGGGGTAAATCTGCAAAGGTACCCTCTCCAGCCTAGCTTCCAAAGCAATCGGACAGGGGGGGCTTGTTACCTTGCCACGGGTAAAGTAACACAAACATGGTAAACCAGCATGAGGTGGAGCAAGGGGGGGAGGATTGTTACCACTGCCGGCGCCGGCGCCGGTACCGACGGGTAGGCTCGCGGAGCAACAGGCGCGCCGCAGCCGCAGCCGCGGGAGCGGGAGCGACACGCCTCGTCGTCGTAGCAGCAGCACGCCATCATCCGGCTCCGGCCCGCCGCTGCGGAATTCCTCCACCAACCGCATGCAGATGCAGGGGTCAGAAAGGCAAAAGATGGAGCCATGGAATTGAGGCGAGAGGAATCGAGTGGCAGATACGTACGCGTAGCAGTAAGGCCTTGGGAGCCGCCGGACGAGAAGGGACGCCTGGCTCTGGCTCAAGGCGACGGCGGCCTGCATCGCCGACGGATGGATAGAGCAAGGCGGAGACGTCGACGTAGGGTCTTTTTTTTTGAGACACATACGACGACGTAGGTGGTGGGTTGCCGTGTTACTTCACGGGCCAGGCCGGTCTCACCTTGTGGGCTGCCGCCGACCGATCGGGCTTGCCTGCTCCCTCGTATGCTCCCATCCGTGCTCCCACTTCATCCTACGGCTATCTTTTTTCTTTTCTATTTCTAATCTAATCATCTTTCCCCCTAATTTTAAGGGGGTGGGGCCGGGTCTTATTTTCTTCCAATCAAATCAAGCCACACACGCGGAAGCATGGATGGGCACACACGGGGGGAACAGGCAAGTCTCGTCCGCCGCCGACTGGCGGGCCATCACGGCATCCCCACCAAGTTGACTCAAAAACGTAGATGGTGCAGTCTCACAGAACAGAAGGAGGGGAGCTGCAGCGACATTATGCAGAGACCAGGATGGAAAGTTCCTAGGGGCTTCGGCCATACTTGTGAGGGGTATTTACGATCCACCTGCACAGGCTGCACTAGAAGCCCTTGCAATTCGGGAGGCTCTAGCCCTGGCCGAAGATCTGAATTTGCAGAGAATACACATTGCATCGGATTGCAAAGTGGTGATTGAGGATATGAAGGAGCAAAACCCGGCTGGTTATGGTGCAGTTCTACATGAAATAACAGACCATGCGACAAGGTTTGTAGAGTGCAATTTTGTTCATGAGTATAGGAGCTCGAACTTTGAGTCTCACAATCTAGCGAAGCATGTTTTAAAGCTAGGGTGGGCCGTCATGTTTGGTTAGGACACCCTCGTAATCTCGATTTTGTGCCTGTAAACATTATTTCAGGATAAATAAAGCTTCGCGTGATTGTCCAAAAAAAACCAAGTTGACTCAGAAAATAACTCATCTTAAAAAATTGACTCAAATAATAAATCAAAAATATATACCGACGGTCACTGAAGTCGAGTCTGAAGCACAAAACAGTCCTTGTACTAAAGCATACGCTCAATAAAATAACAGAAGACGACGTTACGATCACTATTGCACATACAACTCTCGTATGAGCCACGTTTGACCATTCCACGTAGCTAGGTACTCCCTCCGTTCCAAATTACTCGTCGCTGAAAAGGATGTATCTAGAACTAAAATATATCTAGATACATCCATTCGTTCGACAAGTAATTCGGAACGGAGGGAGTAGTTGTGATTCAGTGAGACTTGCAAGGGGTGGTTAGTGTGAAATTGCCAAATCCCCTCCCCACCCCAAATTTCTTTTCCCCACCTCAGAATCCCTTGCATGCAACGCAGCCATCCGCCGTCCTCATACTCACCTTCCTCATTCTCGCGGAAATAAGGCCTTTGCTGACTGTTGCGCCCCGCTAGCTCCCCTCTCTCAGCTTTCTGTCGTACGACAGTCCTAGTGCCCTTAATCTGCTACGTCAACTACCGGAAGAAGTTAAAGATGTAGCATGTCTGTAAGTGCATCTAGTACGCCTTAGTGATTTTGGTGTATTGAAGACTTATAGGTTAAGGGACTAATATGTTTATGAGTGTACATAGGTCTATAAGTCTATGAGGATTTTGATATTTACAGAGAAAGTCGACCCCTAAAAATGAATATCTTCGACTGAAGATTTTGGTATTCCTGAAGACTTTCATGAAGACTTTGAAAGTGAAGAAATTGGTGTGTTCGTGAAGACTTGATATTCATGCGAGGAATATAAAGCTTGAAGACTTTCATTTTCATAGTTTTGTTTTTCTCTTTCTTGAGTCATAGGAAATATTGTACTGTTAAAGGGGCTCGAGGAAATACTAAGGAAAAATTTTCATGTGATGCTCAACTCAAAATCCTACACCTACCAATCCCCTCGAGTGAAGCCTTTGGAAATCTCATACAGTTCAGTCAATTTCTTCAGTGACAGAGACGAAGTTCTTCTGGTCGCTGAGGAATTTGTTCTGACTGAGGAGTTAGGAATTCGCCAGTGCAGATTGCCTACACAGTGAGGAACATGATAGCCCTGAGGAATTTGAGAGTCAAATTTCCGACCATTTGTTGTGTTGCGCGCCAGCTGTACCAAAATATCTTATCCACCTAACGGTCATATCAAACAAGGGCATTTATGTCTTATCATGTTGGGCTGCTCCCTAGGCTATAAATAGCCGCCCCCTACAACCACTAGCTGGTTGGCTGCTCCGAGAGAAACTGACACTTGTCATTTGAGAGCACCCCATCCTCCGAGGACTTTGAGCGAAAATCATCGAGTGAGGAAAAAACCCAAACCCAAACACCTACAAACCCAAAGTGATTGAGCATCACTGAAGAGATTGATCCTGCGTGGATCCGACGCTTGTTACCTTTGAAGACTGTGCTTCTTCCAGACGGTTAGGCGTCATGGTCTAGAGCATCCAAGAGGAATTGTGGATCACCGAGTGACCAAGTCTGTGAAGGTTTGGAAGTCGCCTGAAGACTTACCACGAGTGATTGGACGAGGTCTGTGTGACCTTAGTTCAAGGAGAATACGGTGAGGACTTGGTGTCCTGAGCTGCGTGCTCAGCGACTGGGTGTCCGGGAATGTGTGTCCTCGAGTTTAAATACTCAGCCGCTCCAACCAGACGTACAACTGAGACAGCAGTTGGAACTGGTCTAACAAATCATTGTCTTCACCAACCTTACTGGTTCTATTCCCTCAACTCTTTCATTTTCTCATTACTGTGTTGTGTGATTGTTCATATCTGTGTTTTGAAGACTTTGACTGAAGACTTTCTCAATTTCATCAGTTCAATTTCTTCAGTCTGTTTGTCTTCATCTTGTTTTATCCTGTGCTTACGCTTTCTGTACTCTGTGCGTGCCTTCATTTCATCATGATGACTATGCCTGTATTCTGTTATGCTTACTTCTGAGTACTTATTCCGCTGCTAGTAGTTCTTCGCTAAGGAATTTCCTCACTGGCAAATTCCTCAGTGAAGAATTCATAAAAATCGCCTATTCACCCCCCTCTAGTCGATATAACGCACTTTCAATTGGTATCAAAGCAAGGTACTCCCTTGTTCTGTGTGATTTTGGTTTAACCACCTGGAGTTCTAGTTATGTCGACCGCAGGTATGATCAAGGTCTCCGCTGGGTGTCCTACCTTCGATGGCACGGACTACCCCTACTGGAAGAATAAGATGTGAATGCATCTTGAAGCAATTGGCAACGATCTCTGGTACGTTGTGGAAAATGGTGTTCCCTCGGTCACACCTTCCCTGAATGCTGCTAATGTGAAGAGATTCAAGCAACTCGATTCTCAAGCGAAGAATATCATATGTGGCCATCTAAGCAAAGGACAGTATGGAAGAGTGAGTGCTTTGGAAACTGCTAAGCTTATCTGGGATAGGCTCTCCAAAGTAATGAAGGAGTCTCAACTCAACGTGACTCTCGTGTTGACGTTCTTCGCAATCTCTTCAACCGCTTCAAAAGACTCGACAACGAAAATGTTCAGCAAACCTTCGATCGCCTGACCAACATCTCAAATGAACTTCAAGCGCTTGGCGCCACTGACATCACCGACCATGAGGTGGTGAAGAAATTGCTGAGATCGCTAGATTCTTCATTTGATACTCTGGCACTGATGATACAAGAACGTGCTGACTACAAGTCACTGGATCCCGTTGATATCCTCGAGAGGCTAAATACTCATGAGTTCCAGCTTGCTGAAAAGAGAGATCTCTATGGTTCAAGCTATGGCAAAACACGTGCCCTGAAGGCCAAGGCTGTGTCTGAATCTGAATGTGAAGATTCTGTTAGTAGCCTTGGTGATCCTGAAGAATTGAGCCAGGAGCTAGCACTGCTCTTGAAGAAGTTCCAGAAGTTCTCAAGAAGTGGTCACTTTGGAAAATCCTCAAGGAGCAGTGATTCCTCATCAAGTGACTATAAGAGAAGACTTTGCCACAAATGCAAGAAACCTGGTCACTATATTCAAGATTGTCCTCAGTGGGAAAAGGAATTAAAGAAGAAGAAATACAAGGATTACAGTTCTGATGACGCTAAGAAGAAGAAGAAATCTTCAAAATCTTCATCATCAAAATCCTCGAAGTCTTCATCTCACAAGAAGAGCAGCTCCAAGAAGGCTCGGGCATTCATTCGGAAGGAAATGGACTCTGAAGCTGAATCTGAGGAACATGAGGAAGAGGAGGCATCTGAGGAGTCCGAGTCTGGTGTGGCGAGTCTGGCTCTCGCTACTGCATTCGTCAGCAAGTCCACCTTCAACTCTGAAGAAATTGACCTCACCAACAAGGCTGACAAATACAATGATGACTATGCTCCCACCTATTGCTTCATGGCAAAGGGTGCCAAGGTAACAAAATACCCCTCCTCTGAATCTAGTGAGGATGAATCTGATGAAAATCTTAAGCCTAGCTACTCTAAACTTGCTAAGATTGCTGTGAAACAACAAAAGGCCATTGAGAAACTTCAAAACATGCTAGACAAAAGTGATGATATGTTGGGTGATGAAATGGACCGCACTAAAGACTTAACTGAAAATCTTCAGAGACTTCAGTCTAAGTTTGACAACATTCAAAGTCATCATAAAACTCTCTTATCTGATCACGAGAAGCTTTCTTATGAATTCCTTCAAAGAAAGCCAGATCTTGAGAAGCTAAGAGTGAGTTATGAAGATCTTCAGAAGGAGCGCGATTCATTGCTAGCTCAACAAATCAGCGCTTCTCAGGAAGAATTTGTTCCTCCATGCTTAAGGTGCATTGAACGTGAATCTGCTAATTCTTCACCTGAATGTTCAAATGCTTCAATTGTTACAAATTCTTCACCTGCCTCTGCTATCACTAATTCCTCATCTGAGGACATTGCTAGTACTACTAATGATGCAGGGCTGAAGGAATTGTACACAACAAGCATGTACGAAAGCCTCAAAGGGCATCAGATTCTTTGTGATGTGCTTAAAAAGCAGATCCTCAACAGAAACCCTAGGAAAGAGGGTATTGCCTTTGAGAGGAAACTCAATGCCGATGGAACATATTGGAAGCCTGAGCAGTACCCCAAAACCTCATGGGTTGCTGCAAAGGG